GTCATCCGTCCGTCCATCCATCCATATATTCATCCATCTATCCAGCTATTCATCCATACTTTCATCCATCAATCTATTAATCCAGTCATCCGTCCATCCATCTATCCATCTATCCATCCATCCATCCACCCGCCCATCCATTCATCCATCCATCTACCCATCCATGCATCCGTCCGTCCGTTTATCAATCCATCTATTCGTCCATCCATCCCATCCATTTATTCTTCCATCCATCTATTCATTCTCAAATCCATTATCACTTTCTTTAACTTGAATGGATTTGAAATGAAACCAGCAGAAAAACAAATTAATTCAAAATCCCATGAATTCAAATCAACCGCGTACGCAATTGTGTGTACATGTGTTTGTACATTTATATACATGTACACACACACACACACACATATATATATATATAATATGTATATATATATATATATATATATATATATACATTTGTATTTATATACATGAATTCGTTATCCACATATACATATGTAATTTACGTGCACACATGCATATACATACATACCACATTTTGGTATTACGAATTATACAAATACACACACACACATACAACGTATACATATGTGTGCGTACAATACAGAAATGTGAAGATGTACAAGGAGGAACTATAAAAGCGCCGACGGTGAAACTAAACAAAACATCTCAATCCCTTTTGGACGGTAATTGTTTCTAAGTAATCTTACTAATCCATCAAATCAAATGGAGCTGTTTGACTTTTCAGTAATTATGAAAAAATTTAATCATAAAATTTTTATTCATTTATTCAACTGATTTTGTTATTTTATATTAATTATTTATTATTGTATTTATTTTTCTAATAATTTGATCAAAAAAAAATTTACTTAAGCCCACCAGAGCCGCCAAAATCAGTTTTTAAAACATTTAAAATGTATGGTGCGTTAAAGCGTTTAGCTATTATTAATTTGTTTGTTGATGAGCAGTAGAGTTAACTATAATGTCTTTGCTGTTGTTGATGTTATTGCTGTTGTTGTTGTCTGAAAAATTCAATTGTCAGCGGTCGTCATCGTCATCTTTTCCATCATCATCATCGTCGCCATCATATATAACTTATCTAGACCCATCATCATCTTCGTCAAAGTCATCGTTATTATCATCATCGACTTCCTCCTTCTCATCGTCGTCGTCTTCATCATCGTCCTCATCATACTCACCTCCGGATAAGCATCCAGGTTTTTAACTTTTAATAACTTCGAAACCATCATGTGACTACCTTAAAACAGAAAAAAAACACATACCCTCACATAAAGCAAAGCTAACACATACACCCCTGCACACATACACACACACACACACAAACTAACACACAAACTAACACACGCACACACAGCAAACACACTACACATCCATACATACACACACACACACGCTTACAAACACACAGGCAATTATATTTAATCAAAATCACGTGTTGATTCACGTGTAAATAAATCTACCTAGCCAGATATAGGTATGTATGTGTTTGTGTGTGTGCGTGCGCGCGCGCGTGTGTGTGCGTGAGTGTTGCGTAAAGTTTTTGTTTGTGTTTGTTTTTAAATAACATTTCATTACATAACCTTCATTTGTTGTAGTTTGTTTCATTTTTTGTTGTTGCAATTGGTATTTTATTGTCTACTGACGTTGTTTTTTATCGTTGTTATTTTGTTGTTGTTGTTTTTGTTGTTATGACGTCATAGTGGTGAAATGTATGCAGTTATTTGTAGTTGCATGTGAGTCCGTGTACCTACACAGTCTATAGACTTCATGAGATTAAATTTTCTGTAGTAATAGATCAACGTAGAGAGAGTTAATACTTACTGATCAGGACTTTGTGGGCATATTTGCTGGCAGTTAAATCGATTCAAACGGAGGAGGAACTGGAAGAAAGAAGTTGGAAGAGCCACCAATCAATAGATGGATGTCATTACAGAATACACTGAGTGAAAGAAATTATTGGTCGGCGAGTTAGCTCAGTTGGTAGAAGCGCCACTTCTCGTGCTGTTATTACACGAGGGCCAGTCTCGAATACATAAAGACTATCGAATCAACTCGCGTACGCTGTGCGTGCATGTTGGTCTGGATTGGACGGCCTCTGTTTATTTAAAAGCAGAGAATGACATGTAAGCAAGAAGAGAAACAACGTTGGATTCAGTAAAATTGCTCAAGGATAGAAAAATTTTCTTATTAAGTACATATGCGGCCCTTCAAAGGTAAAAAATTTCTCAATGCGGCCCTCACAGTAAAAAGTTTGCCCATCCCTGGTGTGATGCGTATGTTCCACGTTATCGTTTGATTGATTGAATAAGGTTGAATTTGCTTGTTTAAAAAAATGTATTATTAAATAACGCGTTTTCTTACAATCTTTTATGTATGTGTGTATTTTTGTTTGTTTGTTTGTATGTATGTTTGTATGTATGTATGTATGTATGTATGTATGTATGTATGTATGTATGTATGTATGTATGTATGTATGTATGTATGTATGTATGTATGTATGTATGTATGTATTTATGTATGTATTATTATTATTATTATTATTATTATTATCAACAATTTATTAAGTGCATTATAAAATTTAAATTTCTCGAAAGCGCTCTCTATTATAAATGAAATCAGTGAAGGTCAATAAAGTACAAATCGATAAAGTATTTCTATGTCAAAATAAATATATTTTTAAGTTCCTCTTAAAATCATCAAGCTTTAGTCCAGGCATTCTGAGCGATTGCGGAAGATTGTTCCAGGCAATTGGTCCTGACACGGCAATATTTCTAGTTGCAGTTTGTAGTTGGGTAGTTGTCACTGCCAGTAGGTTGGCATAGTCTGATCTCAATTTTACACCTGTTGAAGAAGCTGGTTTTTTAAATATTTTATTTACTAGATATACTGGTAACAACCCGTTCAAAGCCTTATACATAGTCACACAAATCTTATAGTTGATTTTTTTTTCACTGTTAGCCAATGTAGGTCTCTCAAAATTGGTGTCACATGGTCATACTTTCTACGTCCAACAGTTATTTTTGCAGCTCTATTCTGTATCGATTGAAGAAAAGCAATAGATCTCTCTGGTAATCCATTGAACAAGCTATTACAGTAGTTTAACCGTGAATAAACAAACGCATGAATTAGTGTTTGCATGGTTGTTTGATGTAAATATTTTCGAAAGCGGTATAACTGGCAAAGCTGATAAGAACGTGATTTGGATATAGTTTTTATATGATCTTTGAAAGATAATCTCGAGTCAAAAATACACCCTAGATTTGTTGCATTTTCACAGAATTGTATTTAATTATTATCAATTTTGACTGAATTAATGTACCGACATATGTATGTATGTATGAACCCGTTTTGATATTAAAAGCTAATTGATTGATATTTGCTATTGATATTTGAAGATATTGATATTGATTGATACTAATTGATATTTGTATGTATGTATGTATGTATGTATGTATGTATGTATGTATGTATGTATGTATGTATGTATGCATGTATGTATGTATATATGTTTGTATGTTGTTTGTATGTTTGTTTGTTTACACTGCGATGTTTGCGTATTTCGATCTGCAGCGGATATGATTGCGCATGAAATTAGTTGGGACGTTTTATTCATGGAAATGCTAATCCGGAAGAAATTATTATCGATGGTGTTGGCGCTGCCCGTGATGATGATGATCAAGAGATGGTGATGATGATGATGATCAAGAGATGATGATGATCAAGAGATGATGATGATGATAATCAAAAGATGATGATGATGATGATCAAGAGATGATGATGATGATGATGATCAAGATATGATGATGATCAAGATATGATGATGATCAAGATATGATGATGATCCCGAGATGATGATGATGCTATTGACGATAATAATTAAGACTACGTTAATAATAATGATAACATGACTGATGATGACGCGAGAACCTTCATGATGAAGATAACACTTATGGTTATACTTTAGTCTCTGGAACAGTTTTAATTAACATTATTAATAATAGATTAATTACTTTTTGTTATTAATGTTATTCTTAATTAGCGATGCTAATTAATTAAATGATTAATCAATTTTATTTTTATTTGCTGACCAAATTATATTAATTGTGGCTGCAATAGTTGTCATCATCATTTTGGTTTCGTACCATCAGTTTTATATTTCGCTATGATCGGTTCTCACATCATTATACTAAAATATATGAAAAATATAATTGATCCATTAGAACCATCAAACCAGCTTCCCTCAAAGCCGCCCCATCGTCTCCGTTTAATGCCCCTTCGGCCCTTTCCACGCCCCACCAACCAGCCCCACAACAACAACAGACCACGCAACGACAACAATCCTACCCCCACCACCACCACAACTTGCCACGACGAAACTCTCAACATAAATTGTGGCCCCGATGACGTCATCGTGTTTATGGGGGGTAGGTACGGACGAAATGATAGCGGGTCTGCTCAAAAGTGTGGCGTTCCCTTGTCACCTAAGTGTGACGTTGATGTCAGGTCGGCTTACGTTTGCTTGGGGTTTTGTATTTGTTTTGGGTTTTTGTGTGACTAGCAACATGTTGCAAATGGGTTGTTGTTTCTTTGGGATTACCCACACCTGTTGTTTATATGTCTGCCTGTCTGTCAGGTTTGTTTACACATTGTAATCAAGAGAGGTGTTGTTGTCTGATGATATGTGTTTCGTTACTTGTTGCTGTTCTTATGTGTGTGAGATTGTGTGTTTGTTTGTGTGTGTGTATTTATTTGTGTTTGTATGTGTGTGTTTGTGTGTGTCAACTTTTTTGAAATAAGTTTTTTATCATAGAATTAATCATCTGCCGATATAGTCATTTAATTTTTGCATAGATCCTGTACGTGCGGACATGAATGGTTACCCGCAAGTACACACATTTATACAACAAACACACACACACGCACGCACGCACACACACACACATTCGCACGTATACGCACATAGATTCAGTTTAAACCGCATGTGTTCCGGAATAAGGACGTGTTCCGTGTCTGTGACGTCATCGATTTTTGGCAGTCCCTGTGGTCTGCTGGGGGCATTCCTAGTTGTCCAGTACATCTGCGTGCGAGGTAGGGGCTAAATAATAATAATAATAATCATCATCATCATCATCTTAATAATCATCATCATCTTCATCATTAGCAGCTTCAGCTGCAGCACCACCAACATCATTAGCGTAATGATAAACTGCCGCAACTGATGAATTACATCCACCCCCCTAGATATCGAAAGTGAATGTTCGCATGTGGCAGCCGGCTCGCGTCGGTCCTATACCGATCGAATAATCCAAGTACGTCTCGGTACATCGCTAAAACGTTTTTTCCCGCCAAGCCTGGGAGTGAATATTGTGCGAATTATTTAAAATTAAAAATCATAATAAAATTATTCAGTTTAAACTATGAATCGATCAAATAATTATATATTTTTTAAATAATATTAAATTCCACCAATTGAAACTTTCATCCCAAGTTCAAAAGTCAGGGCTACATATCAACACCGGGCTACCCTAGCCCGTACAAAAGATACCTCAACTGTGATTGGCTGGTAACCGTACAATCAGAACAGAGCATCTTAATTAAAATATTCGACTTTGAACTGGATGTAAAAAAGGGCAAAGAATGTAGTGACGTCATCGTCATTTATAAATTGGCGCGAAAAACAATGAAATACATTAGTAGTAGTAGTAGTGGTGGTGGTAGTAGTAGTAGAAGTAGTAGTAGTAGTAGTAGTAGTGATGTTGGTAATTGTAGTAATATTATTAGTATTAGCAAACACATGGATAAAAATAACAAGGGTAATTTTAAATACATCAACATCAACAACAACATCAACAACAACAACTTCAATAACAACATCAACAGCAACATCAACAACAGCATCAACAACATCAACAACAACAACAACCTCAACAACAACATCAACAACAATTGTAGCAGCGGTTTTCTTAACAAAGCAGCAAGTAATGATAAAGTAAATAAAAACAACAACACCAACAACAACACCAACAACAAGATCAAGGACAACATCAACAACAATAACAACGACAACAACGACAACAACATCAGTAACAGAATAATATTCAAAGAATGTGGTTCAATCGGCTACCAAACAATGTTAATTGATGCATCGTCTGTGAGAATTTCGTTTAGATCAGGTTCTCTTGATGTTATAATGATCATTTGACAGCTAGTTTCTTCTTTGTTATTGTTATTATTGTTATTATTATTGTTATTATTATTGGTTGTCGCATTTGAAACTGTAGCAGTAGTTGTAGTATTAGTAGTATCGCCATATCATCGTCGTCATCACAATTATCATCATCGTCATCTTCATCCTTATCATCATCATCTCCATCATCAACTTCATTCTCACCGTCATCAACTTTATCCTCATCATCGTCATCACCATCGTCTTCATCATCTTCATCGTCATCATTTTCATCACCATCATCATCTTTATCGCCATCGTCGTCATCACCATCTTTGTAGGTTCTGGAAGTTTGAGACAGCAAAGAGGATTTTTGTTGTACTTCGAAGGTTTCTGAAAATGTTTTGTTGTAACTATCATCATCAACATCATCAACAACGACATCACCAACAACAACATTGCAACCACCATTGTCGTCAACACCACAATTAATTATCATCGCCTCAAATGATATTATAATCTCTTTATCACCATCATCTTTCTTCATCATCGTCGTCGTCATCATCATCATCCTTATCATTACCACCATCGTATCATTATAATCATCATCATCATCTTTCATCATTATCATCATCATCATCATCATTACCACCATCGTATCATCATCATCGCCCCAAGCGATTGGTCCAGGTTGTCTTCTACCGCTTTCATTTGACCACGCCACCACATTGCTCACGTCCCAAAACTTAAACGGTTATGATGATGATGATGATGTTGTTGGTGATGATTATGATGACGATGACGATGATGTTGTTAGTGATGATTATGATGACGATGATGATGATGTTGTCGGTGATGATTATGATGGCGATGATGATGATGTTGTTGGTGATGGTTATGATGACGATGACGATGTTGTTGATAATGATAAGGGGTTGATGAATTCTGTCAAGCAAGCCCTTACAATTATTTTTTAATTGAATCATCATCATTTAATCACCATGACTGTTTATCATTTTCATCATCATCATCAGTTACGTCATCGTCATCATCATCCTCACCTCCGAAACAACAGGCAATGACGTCATGATGGGCAGGGTCACGTGTGAGGATGGTTTCCGCAGGGCTAGTTACAATGAAAATGACCATGATGACGATGACATCATCATCAACAACAACAACAACTTCAACAACTACAACAACAAAAACAACAACAACAACAACAATAATAATAACAATAATAAATACAATAAAATTAACGGTAATAATAATAATAATTATTATTATGAACTTATTGAGGATAGCGATGATGGTGATAATTTCGTGACTGTGTGCAATGGACACGGCTGGATGTCCAGATACGACCACTGCACCGGTGTTTAATTATAACATAATAAATTTTCAATTTATTAATTAGATAATTATTATTAATTAACGATAATCATATTATAATAATGATGATAAAAATGATAATGAAGTTTATTGATTACATGACTTTCACTTCAAATGAAACACTAGTTTTCTAGACATAAAAGTACATGTGTATATATTTGTACCAATAAAATTTGGTACTTGGGTATTATTTTAATGATAAAAGTACTTGAAAGCCCTACTTGAAGAAACTCTATTAAACGACGTTACTTAGTTTGCTATGAGTAATAATACTTCAAGCTGGCGCTATAGGTTTTCTACTAATACTACCACTACTACCACTACTGCTGTCACTAAGAATACTACAATTTTACTACTCCGTTCTTTACATTAAAGATTACACTTGTACTGATGCTTATATTGCAGCTGTCTGTTACTTGTAGCGATGAGTTAACAACATGTCGAAAGATATCATAATTTTAAAACATTTCTACACCTGCTTTGAATCAACAACATGAACCAACACGAACAAACTGTTTATATTAAACGCAGAGAACATAAACCTGGTGACAGACAACAGAACGAAAGTAAAACTAACCAATGATGATGATGATGGGAGAATTAGATTGAACAGAGCTAAATTTAAACTGGGAAAAACCTTATCTCTTATAGGCTAGTAAACTTTTAAGTATAAATTAAACAATTAGAGTACTTTGTTTTGATTTGGTAGAATCAATTTTTATGAAATTCAATAAACGATGAAAATATTAGTGTTGTAATATTAATACTATCGCTTTTTAAAACAAATTACATTGAATAATTCATCATGCAGCTGGTCTAGCAATGAGTATAGTCACTGGATTCGTCGTATCGGCTCTCTTCATATTACTCTACTTCTCAGCTTGTCACAAGTTTGAATAATTTTTTTATTTTATTTTTGAATTTATTCTTGATTCTATTTCTAAAGTAATTAAGGGTAATTATTTTAAGGGGTAATGAATGAGTGATTAAAATTTAATTGATTAGTCAAGAGTAACTGAAGCTTTGAGTAGAAATGATCCAAGTTTGTTTGAGTGGAGGCACTGAACATTGGAAACTTAAATTTTTAGTGCCTCCAAAAACATTCTCTGAATTAATAGCCTCTAATGGGGATATCATTTGATATTTGATTGCTTGGCCGTACTTTTTACTTCGGAAGTACATTTAAAAAATAGCTACTATTTATTTCTGCTTCAAGTACAGTTCTGAAGTACAATTTCACTATCACTTGAGTAACTTTCTATTATGTTGTTTGCACTCTTGCATAAGTACTGAAGTTTAGTAGGATAGGGTGGGGCAAGAAGCCATAGTTAAGCCTTTGATGAGTGACTACATCTAAAAAATGGAATATTTCTACAACATTAGGGATTATTTTACTAGATTGATATGTCCTTTATCTAATTTTACAAATCTAAATTGTTCAAACATAGGTTTCCTATGTTTTATAACACAAACCGTAGGCCTCTATAAAATGGGAACACAAACCGTAGACCTCTATAAAATGGGAACACAAACCGTAGACCTCTATAAAATGGGCCTGTGTAGAAAAACTATTAAAATAAGCCTTAAAAATAGTACTTCATCCTACATGTTTAACCTGAGGATAACATTGTTAAGATGATTTCCTGGGAAAACGTTCGCATCAAAGTCAACATCATATCCTTCTTGCGAACATGAAACATTAACACTGGTCATCAACTTCTACTTCACTCACGTAATCACCACTGACAAGTTCCTGACGAATTTTAACACCACCGAAAGATCCCAATTCAATTTTCACCGAATTGAACGCCTTGAAAACTTCGCTCAGAAACGAACGATCGCGCGAATTTTCTACTCGTAAAGGTTGATGACTGAAATGTTAAGAAGTAGCAGTACAACCTGGAAAAGTACTTTATTACAAGTAGAAGTACTGCTAATTTTTGTCACTTTGTAACACGTAGAAGTACTTGTAATTAAGTTGCTTGGTTACATGTACTTCACGATTACTGCACCGCTTGGTTGAACGCATGCCACTATAATGCTTAAAAACGATTGTAACAATAAAATAGAAATTGAGATAGATAGTAAGATTGATCGTTAGAAATAAAGGAATAAAATGCAATTAAAAGTATTTATGATTTTCCCAATTAGATTTTCCTCTCGCCATCTGACGACCTAAACATTACATTCACGCACGTACATACAAGTATGAGTGTGTACACACACACACACACACACCACACACACACACACACACACACACACATACACACACATACACACACACACATACACACACACATACACTCATACACATACAAACACACACATATATACACACACACACACGTACACACACACACATACACACACATACACAATAAACACACACGCACACAGACATGCACATACAAACAAATAAACACACGCATACGTCACGTATGAAAATGTTGTACACGTCTTATTTTTACAAAGTTGTACAGCCGTTCGTCTATGAAACCAAAAAATTTATCAAATTACGCATCCATGATTGAATTAAATTACTTTATTGACAATTAAAACGTCAAAAATTATGTGGAAAAATGAAAACTGTTTTTAGAAAAAAATGCAAGCACTTCTTTGTCTACATTAAAATAATCATAACCATTGGATGACAATAATCGTAAATTACATTATACAAGTTACATTACATTAAATTACATTACATTACATCACAGTACATTAAATTGCAATGTATTGAAATTTATCTCAATGAAAACTACACAAGAAGCAACTCAGCAAATAGACACACAGGCAAAACATTAATGTAATGTAAGGAATGACAGTAAAATCTTGAATACTCTTAAGGAGGATGGACGGACCTGCCGATGATGATATGACATCAACAGAGCAACATAAATGGTTTGTCATGGACGACTACAACAACGACAACAATAATAATAACAACGCTGATAACATTAGCTACGATAACATTAACTACAACAACAACAATAGCACCAACACTATGTCGACAGTATCACACCAGGAACAACAACAACATCTCCTGCAACAACAACAACAACAACAACAACAACAACAACAACAACAACAGTATCAGCAATTTTGGGTTTTGAATAATTGCGACCAAAAACATCAACAGCCGGCACAACAACAGCAACAACAACAACTACATCAACAACAACAACAGCAGCATCAACACCACCAACATAATCATCACCAACAACACCAAGGACAGTTTCTCTTGCAACAATCATCATCGACATCACAGTTTCGCCAGAATTATGTTAATGGAGACAACGTTGATGATTATAGCTGTAGATGCGTTGGGCTGTTTGCTGATCATTAACATATTTATGAATAATTGTATAATTTATGATAATGAGCACAACAACAACAATAAAACAAATAAAAACAATAAAAACAATGATTTATCTTTCTTTTTTAAAAGAATAAAAACAATGATTTATCTTTCTTTTATTTTTCAAGAGACCGAGAAAAAAGACGGAGTCCACATTTTTTGTCAGCTTTTCACAAAATCTTCGATTTCTGTGTCAATTTTAATTACAATGTATAATTCTTTTGTTAAAACATTGGCCAACTTGTTGATACTCCAAAAACTTTTTAGAGTTAGCCACATACCTTCCTACCACAATCCCGAGTTGAACGGTTTGTGACATCAGTAAAACAGTGATAGGTTGGTCTTTGTCCGTCTCCCACCAATAGCCTTAGTGGAACAACTTGCCGGATTGTAGTTCTGTTTTTCTGGAATTTGGAACACTCTCCACAAATGTTGGTCTGTATAATGTTTTCCAGCTGGTTTTTTAAGGTGGTCTATATAATATATGCGTGTATACACATACACAAGATACATGATCGTCATATGAATATGAGTTCATTTTTTATGTTGCTAATGCCGATGTAGCTTCCATATCAAAAACACGAAACTGCTTACAAACGGTTTCTTACTTACTAGCAGTAACTTACTTAGTAGCGTCATAAAACCAAAACCGCCAGACGAACTACGCCACACATATTTGCATGTAACGCACACACCAAACGACGCGCATACATTACATATACGCAACTGTTTGCAAAATCTGCGGGGGGCTTGCACCGTACCCATGAACAGACACACACCACACACACACACACACCACACACACACACACACCACACACACACACACACCACACACACACACACCACACATACACACACACCACACACACACACACACACACACACACACAGATATATATATATATATTTCTTAAACTTTAAAATCTTCAACTTGACTCACTGATCGATAAGAAGCGTTTTAAAATTCAAATTCGAGAATGATAATATTGATAATGATGATGATGGTAATGATAATAATGACTATACTAGGAATGACGATGATGATGATCATAACCATGATAATGTGATGATGATGATAGAGAGGATAGTGCTGGATATAATGATGATGATATCTTGAGTTTTTTGTTGATGATAGAGAGGATAGTGCTGGATATAATGATGATGATATCTTGAGTTTTTCGTTGATGATAGAGAGGATAGTGCTGGATATAATGATGATGATATCTTGAATTTTTTGTTGATGATAGAGAGGATAGTGCTGGATATAATGATGATGATATCTTGAGTTTTTCGTTGATGATAGAGAGGATAGTGCTGGATATAATGATGATGATATCTTGAATTTTTTGTTGATGATAGAGAGGATAGTGCTGGATATAATGATGATGATATCTTGAGTTTTTTGTTGATGATAGAGAGGATAGTGCTGGATATAATGATGATGATATCTTGAGTTTTTTGTTGATGATAGAGAGGATAGTGCTGGATATAATGATGATGATATCTTGAGTTTTTTGTTGATGATAGAGAGGATAGTGCTGGATATAATGATGATGATATCTTGAGTTTTTTGTTGATGATAGAAAGGATATTGCTGGATATAATGATGATGATATCTTGAGTTTTTCGTTGATGATAGAGAGGATAGTGCTGGATATAATGATGATGATATCTTGAGTTTTTCGTTGATGATAGAGAGGATAGTGCTGGATATAATGATGATGATATCTTGAGTTTTTTGTTTGCAATTGACACTAACATTGGTGATGATAATGATGATGATGATGATAATTTTATGTGGTGGTAATGATGCTACTGATAATGATGATGATGCTACTGATAATGATGATGATGCTACTGATAATGATGATGATGCTACTGATAATGATGATGATGCTACTGATAATGATGATGACTTTTTAAAAGTTTATTTTAAAATGTAGCTATACAAAAACAACTATTTCTGTGACATCTTTTACTACCACTACTACTACTACTGCCACTACTATTATTACTACTAGTATTACTACTACTGCTGCTTCTGCTGCTACTACCGCTACTACTACTACCTACTACTACAACTACTACTATCTACTACTGCTACTACTACTACTACTACTGCTACTACTACTATCTACTACTACTACTACAACTACTACTACCACTGCTCCTACTGCAACTTCTAGTAGTAATAATGATAATAATAATAATAGTAATAAAAAATAAGACCAATATGTTTTTTACAATAATAATATTTTTTTCTTCTTCTTTTTCTTCTTCTTCTTATTATTATTATTAACATTATTGTTATAGAATACTTTCTCATCTTTAATTCATTCATTTATTTTATTTTATTTTACTTTTTTTCATTGAATATTTATTTCGCCCTTATTTGGAAAAAAATAAAAGAGTTCCCCATTATTGACAAATAACTAAAAACAAAGCTGAAAATGGAAACAAATACAAGATAATTCTTGTAACCGACACTGTTGCCAAAAAATTATTCGTTGTTGTTGTCAGTGGCAACCGCCGGTAAACACTTGCCTCCGAATTTAACGATGATTCATATTTTTAGCAGCACCGTTCTGTTTGTATCCGGCCTGCTTTTTGATTTTATTATTGTTGTTGTTGTTGTTGCTATTGTTGCTACTGTTGTTATTGTTATTATTTTTGTCGTTATTGTTGGTGTTGTTGTTATTGTTGCAGTTTTTGTAGTTGTTGTCAATGTTGTTATTATTGTTATTGTCGTTGCTCTTATTACGTCGTTTTGATTGTTGATTTTGTTGTTACTGCTTTTTCTATTATCGCTATCTTTGTTGTTGAGGTTGTTGATATTTTTATTATTTTTACGATTCGTGTTATTATTGTGATTATTATCATTATTATTATTGTTGATATTATTGTGATTATTATTATTATTGTTGTTGAACTCATTTTTCGTTGCGTTTTTAGCCAACGTAACTTACGAGCACGAAATTGATGTAATGGTGATTATGTTAATGTAATTATGCTTATTATTATTATTATTTTTTTATTTTTCTTGTTGTTGTTGATGGTGGTGGTGCCTATTATTATTTTTAATTACGTATAATTATATTCAGAAAGAATAATTGTTGAATAATTACTGCTAGCTGTTTAAAATCACGCGCTAGCAGACCTTAACGAGCCTAATAATTAATTAATAACAATAATTAATTATTAGTATTATTATTATATACTCATATTATTATTTACTGAGTTTGTCATTTCTTTTTTTTTAACCAAAAAGTCTATTGAGTAATTATAAAGTTTATTCTTTAAAATATTTCAACAGGATAGATGGATGGATTAAACGAATAATTAAATGATTGTTGGAAATAAATTGAGAAAAATAATTGTTTTTATTTTAACTTATTAAAAGTTATACTTAATTTAGAATAAAATAATTAGTAATATACATACAGTAATATAAACAATGAAAAATAATATGTTTTGCATGTGTGTGTGTGTGTCTGTGTGTGCATGTGTGGATTGTTATTAAGTATCTTAAGTATGTATTTATATACTCATATAGGATCCCAGTATATAAGTTAAAGAGCTCTATTTAGACAGTATTCAAATCCTTACATTAGCCATATAAGTATTTAGCATCTAAATACTATTTCAATACCGAATTTTGACCTTGTATTTGCGGAGTATTTAGAGTATTTTAACAGTACTGTGTGTAAGACGTTTGTGCGGGTGCATGTGTATAAAGTGTGTTTGTGTTGTGTGTGTATGGTGTGTTGTGTGTGTGCGTGCGTATATATATATATATATATATGTATATATATATATATATATATATATATTTGTTTATGTATGTATGTATGTGTATATATGTGTGTGTACATATTTTCATATCTATAATTACACTAGATATAATATCTGTAAGGACAATTCAGTTAACCACTGCTGATAATTACCCTATAAAAATAATAAAAGTGTACATATACGTACATATATATACGTATTAAATGTAAAATTTAATATAACAAGTAAATTAGATAAATCATTAATTGAAGAATTTATTTATAGGCCACTTCAAAACCATGCGTTTCTACCAAATCTAATAGGCAGTGTTCAAGTATGTTTGTAAGTATGTATGCATATGCATGTTTGTATGTATGTATGTATGTATGTGTGTATGTATGTATGTATGTATGTATGTTTGTAAGTATGTATGCATATGCATGTATGTATGTATGTATGTATGTATGTATGTATGTATGTATGTATGTATGTATGTATGTATGTATGTTTGTATGTATGTATGCATGTTTGTATGAATGTATTATTACTATTATTAATTTATATCGCGTCCTGAGATAGTCGAGATGTATTAAGTAACTTATACGTGAGGACGGCGAGTTTAAATATAATGCATTGACGTACTGGAAACCAATGAATGAGTGAATCTATGCTGTAAGATAAATTACTGATATTGGATTAGAGGTAGGAATTTTAGCTATTATGCGTGTGTCGTCAGCGTATTGACGAAAGAGTAAGCCAAAAGTTTTAATGATATTAGAAATAGGAGAGGCATAAGTAGTGAAAAGAATGATACCAAGAACAGACCCTTGGGGAGCTTCAGTAGATAAGGTGAAGCTAGAGGAAGAGTGGGAGCCAAGTAGTTTAATATATTGAGAACGATTAGAAAGATTGAAACCAGGATAAGGCAGATCCTGTGATGCCACATTCTGCCTCAAGTCTGTCAATAAGCATCTGACGATTATTGGTATCAAAAACTGATGAAAGATCCGGGCTGACCATGACAGCACAATTTTGGTTTCTACGTATGTGAGCAAGTTGGTCGTGAACAGGAAGGAGGGCTGTTTCTGTAAAATAATATTTTCTGTAAGCGGATTGAAAAGTAGAGAAATTAGGAGATTATGTATGTATACTTATTAAGAGCAATTTGTTAGCGTTAAATGGAGTATGTTTGTAAGTATTTATGTTTATATGTATGTTTTTAACTGTGTATATATGTTGTAGACATGATTGTGGATAATTTCATGTTTATTAATGCATAACGAACTCACGTTTATAAATATTTATATAAGTATATTTACTTTTTTGTATGTTTTTTTACGTATCCGAATATTACGCACATGATCCACTGATGCAATTAATCCCTTCCATTCCATCGTATCATAATGCATACCTCAAGTACGTCATTAAGTTGAAAGCAAAAATAATAAATAAATTTAAAATCAAATCTAATAAGAATTCGGTAATTTTTCATCAAATCAAATCGTAAACAGACGCATGTTACATGTACATTGTACACTCCACAAAAACCATTAATTAACTTATTTTTAATACTAGAAAATAACAATGACAAAAAGTCACTTCAGAACTGAAAATGATATTTGTACCAATGGAGAATTGGTAGAAATATCATTTCCATCTCCATCGCGAACAAATCCCACCAACCTCCACCCACTCAACCACAGCACGGCTTCATGGCCATCATGTTCTGAGCGAAGGTGAGAGGAAGTTGGACGAGGCCCAGCAATCCATCGCAGAGTCCCTTCAAAGGAGTGATGCAGGCCGCAAAGGGGATGAGGAAGATGTAAACCCAAGCCAGGAAGAAGGCTATGGGCCAGGCGACGAAGATGATGCCGATGAACCAGAGGAGGGACCAGAGAAGACCGGGGCAAAGGTTAGCCATTTTAAAAGAAAAAAGAAAAGATTTTTGGCAAGGAAGAAGTAGGTCGAATTGAAATTATTTAATGGAATTTAGATAGTATTTCATGCAATGCCTATGTATGTGTTTAGATATACAAGTATCGGTTAACAAATGATGGATGGTATTAATTGCTTTCTATTTTTGTTGTTTTGAAAAAATAGATTTACAATATGTAATTGAAAATCTTAAACAAATTTGATTTGTAGAATGCTAAAATAATTTTAACAATGAGAGGCTGGATAACATTTAAAAAATAATTTCATCGACTTATTTCATTTTAATGTTTTTTGAAGTTTCTGTTCGCGGCGAGTTACTTGAAGAAGTGTCCGGTCTGATTCGTTGAAATAGTTGGGAAGGTCGAACCGTTTGTGGTCAATGTGCTGATATTTGTCTCGCTGTTGCTGCAAGTAATACTGCTTCAGGAGTCGTTGTCGCTGCAGTAGTTGCTCTTCAGCCGATATCGATGAGGCTTGTCGTCGCCGTGAGTCGCTGTGTGGGGAAGATGAAAGCCGACCGAGGCAGTTGTTACCTATTTTGAAGAATTTCTGAGCAACGGAATTCAACTATTCGATGAAATTTTTGTGTAGAGGTGGCGGATGTATCTGACTCTTCTTAAACCTGCTGGAAAAATGACTTTCATTTTATATTGTGGCAATTTTTATTAATAATAAATTTATTTAAAAAAATGTTTCTTTTTCTACCCATCATTAATAATTTTTAATCGCAATTTTTGAATGATGTACAATGAAAACAATCATATTTTTGAAACAACATTGCACATCTATGGATAACTTATAGTCAAAAAGTTGTTTAACACATCTACAAAAAGCGAGTTCCAACTAATAAGAAATTAAATAAATTTTTAAAAAGATTTATTTTCACCATTATGCAGCCCTACCTACTTTACAAAAGATTTCCAAAATTTCCGGAAGGAACTTTCGAGACGATAAGTTGCTGGAACGAAGTGCTAATTAATATGAAGGATCGCACGAGACACCAACTCAGTCAACAAGCATCAACGTCATATTTTAACTCTATAACGTTATATCAGTAGACGCAATATACAATACGTGCGCATACAACACACACACGCGCGCTCACACACGCACGCACACACACACAATCACATATACTCACATACGCATATATATTTTTTATACGAAACATGTTTTAAACCGATATATTGCATGCATTGTACATACCAAAGGATGTTACAAACAGCAATGTAAAAACGTTTGAATTAACACCCATTAACATTGCATTGCTATTAAAGAAAATTTTTTACGCGTCCGTTGAACATTTACACAAGCGCTCTTACATATATCAGCAAAACATAAACTGTACCTGACCAACAAAATGAATCAAAATTGAGAATTTATTGTAGCTTAGAAGAAAGTAAAAATGTTTTAAATCGTATTTTGAATGCTGCTAGATCTACTTAATGACTCTGGCAGTTGTTCCACACAGAAGCACCAGCAACGGCGATACCAGCTGAATCAGTTTGCAATCGCGTCACAGAGATGTCACAGACCGATTTAGTTGTCACCTGATCTAAGATGAGGACGCCATGTAGTTGCCTTCATTCTTGCTAAATTTAAAGAGGATCACGCCAATTTTAAAAATTATTCTTCAGTCAATCGTCAACCAGTAAAGTTCATTCAGAGTCAGCATCACAAGATCGAATTTATACTTGTCAGTCATCAGTTTAGAGGCTGAGTTCTGTACCGATTGGAAAACAGCAATTGATTTACCCGGCAATTGATTTGTACAGTAAGAGACAGCGGGAAATTGAAAAATATGCATAAAGGCTTTCATAGTTGACCAGTCTAACCAGTGTCCTATCTTCGTTAGATCTCTGAGATTTGCAATGCACGAGATTGTTATCTCTTAGTTTGATGTCTCTCATCGATATCGCATTGTCGGCCAAACAAGTTAACTGTAGTCTGATTAAATGGTTTGCTAGCGAGGTCTCTTCTGTGGAATTGAAGTTAAATTTTGACAACTGCTGCAGTGTTTTAACGGGAAGTCACTGAGTTTTGAATTCTTGAAACCTCACGGAGTTGCGTGACATCTATTGTCCAACTTCCAACGAATGAATTTATCAACTTCGCTTTGGAAATAGCTTGAATGATCAGTAGTAACCAGTATTTGAAAGTCATCTGCAATGGCATATTGTACAGAGGATTGTACCCGACGTATATACTAATAATGGGAGGGGTCCCAGGAACGAGCCTTCTGGTACTTGCGCTCCGTTGCAACCTCTGCAACTTCAGTTGCACGTGAACAAAACATGCACATAAAAAGAGAGAGAGATAGAGATAGATAGAGAGAAAGAAAGAAAGAGAGAGAAAGAGAGAGAGAGAGTAGTAGCAGTAGCAGCAGTAGTGGTATTGGTAGTGCAATTATTATTATTTTTTATCATTAACAATATTGATAGCAAAACAGCAGCGGTAGTAGTAGTAGTAGTAGTAGTAGTAGTAGTAGTAGAAATAGTAGTAGGGATAAGAATAAAATAATAAAAAGTAGTAGTAATAGTATTTCATAATTATTTATATTAATCTTTATTCATATTTTTTATACATTTTCTTACGAGCAGGTTTCAAACCTCGATCGATGTATGGTAATTGTTAAACGCGAAACATGAAATAAAATCAATGAAACACGAGTGTGTGTTTGTCTTGTCAACTCGAATAATCGTTACTACTTAAAGTATTTTCAACCAAACGTAGTAGTAGTTGTAGTAGTAGCTGTGAGTGAAGTAGTAGTAATAGCTGTTTTTGTAGTAGTAGGTTGCATTACTAGCAGGTGTATTAGTAGTTGTTGTAGTAATAGTACTAGTCGTAAGTAGTAGCAGCAGCATTTGTAGTAGTAATAGTAGTAGCAGCTGTAACAAGATTCATATTATTATTATTATTATTGTTACTTTTATCACAAGCAGTTCTAGTAGCAGTAGTATTTTAATAATAGTAATTGTGTTAGTAGAAACCGAAGTAGTAGTAGTAATATTTGTAGTAGTAGTCAATGTTTTTGTTGTAGTAGGAGCAGTAACCGCATTATAATTTGTAGTAGCAGTAGTAGTAGTCGTAGTAGTGGTAGGAGTAGTAGTAGCAGTAACAATAGTAGAATTACTTGAAAATGTTACTATAATTTTATTTCTGTAGAAGTATTAGCATCAGTAGTAAGTAAACGTTGATACTATTGATATTTGCATTATTTTCAGTTGTAGTAAAAAAGTAACTTTAAGTAGAACCAACAACTAAAGTTACCGAAGTAGGCACTGTGTCTTATCAGATAGTTGATTATTTTTGCTACAAAAATAGATCTCGTTTCGTTATGTTTTAAGAGTAGCAACAACGACAATATAAGAAAGAAGTAAAAACGTAACGTTACAAATACAAGAGTAACTAAGAATACCAACAAGTAATTTGTAGCATTAGTATTTTGTAATATTAATCAAACGAACTACTGTCAGATAAGTTTTTTTATTCAATGGTATTTAACTTTCTCTGAGGTAATAATCATCTTTTTCGTGGCTTTCAAATGAATGGATTCCCACAAAAATGTTATAATACACAATTAATGAATAATTCTATCTTTCTGACAAAAATTTTTCCATTGAAATTTTTTTATTTATTGAAGTTATAAAAATGTTAACAATATTTGTATTCAATTGTTAACAGTAGTAGTATTAAGAGTAATAGTCATAGCTTTTTTAGTATTAATATTATTAATATTATTATTATTATTAGTGTTGGTAGTAGTAGTAGTAGTAGTAGTAGTAGTAGTAGTAGTAGTAGTAGTAGTAGTAGTAGTAGTAGTAGTAGTAGTAGTAGTAGTAGTAGTAGTAGTAGTAGTGGTAGTAGTAGTAGTAGTAGTAGTAGTAGTAGTAGTAGTAGTAGTAGTAGTAGTAGTGGTAGTAGTAGTAGTAGTAGTAGTAGTAGTAGTAGTAGTAGTAGTGGTAGTAGTAGTAGTAGTAGTAGTAGTAGTAGTAGTAATAATAAGAGTAGTAGTAGTAGTAGTAGTAGTAGTAGTAGTGGTGGTGGTGGTAGTGGTAGAAAGATTGAAGTTGTCCTCGCATCAGTTTTTTCATAATTTTTGAAATATTTGATGTTAGGAGTATTAAGAGGTTCCCGATTGATTCATATGAAAAATATGGAAATCCTGGAATGCTGCGGTCTGAAAAATGAAAAAAAAATCGTTTCATTATATTTAAATTATAAAAAATAAAATTGTTATATTAACATTAAGTATTGAAAGTAAAAGAATTGATGAATATGATGTGTGGTGGCTGGCTGCTTACGGTTTTAATTGCCCGGCTGATTTTTAACAACGAGTTAACAGTAATGATAATATAATAACTTCACTGAATAAATTCTGCCTTTGTCTTAAGTTATATTTAAAAAGTTCTGTGAAAAACTAGACTGAAGAGGAAACTGTCAGAGTCACACATATAAACAAACGGTCAGAGAGACAGTAAAAGAGACAAACAAACGAAAAAACTAAAAAACTAACAAGCTAAATATACTAACAGACAAACGTACATAATAACAAACAAACAAACATACTAACAAAAGAGATCTTCATAATGTTAAAAAACAATACAAACCGATTTTCCGAGTTCTTCATTTTCCCCAGAACTTTATTTAAACTTGAAGCTGTAGTACTTGTGAACATGTTTCTTATCTCGTCTCAAAAAGTTTCCTCGTTCAAACAACAAAAACCCAACCACTAAGGCATCAGACCATGAAACGCTGACTTTAAATAGAAAATTTTCCCTTTGGAGTCAGTTTTTGTCATATGGACTTTGATACAAAATGTTATGCACCAAAATCAAAAACACATATATAAAATAAATTTAAAAAATTCATCTACTAAAACATCGGTTACCAACCCCAGAAGATTTGTATTAGGTGTAATTTGGATGTACAAAACCAGGATCGCAGAGTGTTGACGACGACGACGATGTTAGTGTTGTTGTACTTTCTCTGTGAGATCCTGTGGTCGTAAAAGGTAATATGATTAATCACAGGAATTATTATATATGGTACAATAACGTTGCGTGTTTCAAACAATGCCAAAAATACTGTTTTGTAAACAGAAATTAATTTTAATAATGTTCACAAAGATAGCATAATTCTTATCACCTTGCATTTTTTTCTTCCAGGATCGTCCTGATTTCTCATTAGTGAGGTGGTGGGTGAAACAGCAGGGAGCCACCAAGCAAACTGGCACCATAGGTGCGTGTGGGAAAAAAGACGGTCCCGTCTCATCACAATTTTGATAGATTCCTTGCTTCGAAGGCCCGTCACGCACGTTGCTGCACAGCGGTTGGATGTCCGACATAACCGCATGAGGCTTCTTTTTGTGGCTGCCCCCGTCTCCGATGAATGCCGAGTTCGACCAATTAGTTGGCGCCACTGACCTCATGTGCTGCTTTAGCAAATGTTGGGTACTGCTTTCTTTAGAATTTTTCATTAATAAATGATCGGTGTGGTTATTTCTATGAAATTTTGGTCTGCATCGATTTTGTTTTCGATTGTTTAAAAAATTTTCTTCACTGTAACTTGAGTGTTGCAAAAGGTTTTGTTTGTGATTTTGTTGGAAATGCTGCTGACAAAGAAGTTGTGGACGTTGATGGCTCAGTTGGAAGTCTTGATAACTTTGCGTTGAATTGTGTTGACAATATTGCAGTGAACTGTTCAAATGAGATTCGTAATGGTCCGGATATTTTTGAATAGGATTAGTTTGTGGTAGGCTGGATTTAATCTGCGGTAATGGACATTGACAGTCAAGTTTAAAATTTTGAGAAAGTTGAGAACATTTTTTATAAAATTCATACATTTCTTTATATTGTTGTTTTAAAGTCTTTTGCTCTTGCAGTTGGTTTTGCAGTCTCCTTTGCAACTCTAATTGCTGTAGCTGTAATTGTTGTTGTTGCTGCAGCAGCTGTTGCTGTTGATTTCGTTCTTTTGATAATTTTTGTTTTAAAATATTATCAATCACTTGTTGTGAGATTGTTTTTGAAATTGTTTCACATTTTTCTAACAGTGCTTTATTCACTGGACGCACTTCTTGGCGTATTTCGATCGGCGCAGGGGGAGAGCAGGTTGGATCGACGCAAACGTTGGCTGGTTGCTGGCAAGATGGTAAACGTTGAGGAAACCGTCGATATGCGTGATGCAGCGGTTGTTGTTGGTGTGGTTGATGTTGTGGTTGTTCGTGTGGTGGCTGGTGTAGCTGACAATGTAGTTGTTGCTGTGGTTGTTGATGGAAGTTTGGGAAGGGCGATTGTTTTCTCGCGCAACATTGGGACTGGAGTTGATCAGGTAATTTTTGCTGAAGTTGTTGATTTGATGGCTTCTTGTTCGGCAATTGAAATGTTACCTGATGCTGTCGTGGTTGATGCTGTTGACGTTGACAAAAACATTGTTGACAGACCTGTTGCTGTTTTTGCAGTGGAATTTCTTGTCGCTTTTCACATCCTTGGCAAAGTTGTTGTTGATGATGTTTTTGACGCTGAAAAAGTTGATTCTGTTGTGAACAACATTGTTGTTGTTGACATTGTTGCTTTTGTTGCTTGTGTACGTTAGCAATTTGAGGTTGTAGGACACATTGTTTTTGGTTTTGTTCTGGCTGAGCAAGCTGATGTTGCCGAGGTTTCTGAGGAAGTGCTGAAAATTGAAAAGGTTGTTGTATATGTGGGTTAACAAAATCCACATGTTGGCAAGAACCACATGGCAAAGATTTTAAATGTGCTGAATTTTGGGATAAGTAAACAGGATCTGCAATACATGGTGGCATCTGATATGCATTTGGACGCAATCTTGTTTGACTAAAATTTGTTTGAACCTGTAATGGTAAGCGTGAGTTTGATGACGTTCGTGAGGATGGTGCTTGGTGTGATTGGCGAAATACTTCGTTAGCTTGAGGATTGCAACAATGTGTCTGAACGACTGGTAAAGCTGGTAAACTTGTTGGGTATTTTGCTGAAGAAAGCGGTGGGTACGATGATTGCTGGCCAAATGTTTGATTGGTACAATTCACCAAAGATATGCTGCTTGTTGGCTGATGTAAATTATTATAGTCAACAATAGCTCTTGGATGTTGATCTAAATGAGAATTTGGTACAGAACGATAATTGTTATGATATGCGACTGGAAAACTGTTTGGGTATTCCGAGCTGCCGTATTCATGTCTATGGATATTGGATTGAGGTTGCGATGAACACAAAGGTTTATCAGCTAAACTAACTTTATGGAAAGCTTTTTTAAACAGTTTGGAATCGTCTAAATTTCGTCGAATTTTTGTAAGGGAGACACGATATTCATCATTTGCGTCAAATGAATCGTCATAATTATTTCCACGCTGGCGCAAACCGTTTTGCCTTCTCATAACCTGGTGCAAAGGTTTAAAAGAGTCTGAGTCATTTTCATGGTTACATTTAAACGTGTCATGACTATCTTCATTGTTTGTATATATAGAACTTTTACTGGGCAAGTCTTCAAAACCTCGATGTTGGTATTTACCCATATTATTTTGAGTTCTAAATTGGCCGTTAGATAAAATGTCACTAGATGAACCAGAGAAATTAGCCATACATTTATGTTTATCGTCATAATAGTATTCATATGATTTGTTGAATTGTGCTTGCAAGCGTCCTAAATATGCATTATGACCACGTCGACCTCCATGCAAATGTGCACGTGTGTTTTTAGAAAATGTTTTTATTGGACGTTTATAGGAATAATGTGAATTTGTATGACTTTCATGTACGTTTTGTTGAAATACAGGACAGTGTTGATGTGAGGATCCGTATGTAGAGGTAGGAAAGCCTTGTGGCTTTTTAGGAAAATTGTGTGCCTCTCTAGGGAAACTTTTATTTGAATATCCAAGTGGTTTGTTCTGAAAACCTCCAAGTAAACATTCATACTTACCTGTATTTGGATATTGATATTTTTTATTTTGATGCACTCCGTGTAAACAACCACGTTCTTCCTTTAGATTCCAGTTATTTAAATAAACATTTTTATTCTTTAGATACCCTGCTTGTGAAAATTCATGTTCTCTTTGATATTCTCCATACGGATACCCATGCCCTTTTTTTTGATAGCTTCCACATGAACTATCATGCTCTTTATTCTGATATCTTTCATATGGATAACCGTGGGAGCAATCCCATTGTTTGCGCTGATACCCTACCTGTAAACATTCAAGTCCTTGTTTCTGATGTCCCTCGTTTGAATGACCATGTTCTCCGTATGAATACCCAAGGTCTTGATTTTGAAAATTTCTATACGGATACCCTTGTTCATTCTTAGAGAATTTTTTGTGCAAAAATTTAGGTGCTTCTTTTTCAAAACATTCAAAAGTATAGTCGTGTTCATTTTTAGTAAAACCCTTATTGGGAGCATAGTGTTTTTTATGTAAAGAATGATGTTCTTCTCTCGGTAAACTTTCTGGTAATCGCCTACGTGCTTTCTTAGGAATGTTTCCTGGCAAACAGCCGCATGCTTCTATAGGTTCTCTTTTATATGCAGCTGCATGTGCTTCTTCAGGAGATTTTTTAAAAAAAACTCCATGTTCTCCTTTAGTAAAATTTTCGGGATGTCGCTTTTTTTCTTTAGTAAAAATTCCGGGACGATAACCAGGTTCTTCTGGGGGAAAATATCTAGATTGACGTCCGCGGCGAGTTTGCGGTGCATTTCTGAAAAAATTTTCCGAAGTACATCTAGAAGCATTTTGTGATTGTCGGGGATCACTTTGCGATATTTTGTGACTTCTGTGATCGTCTTGAAATAAACAGTTGGATAAATCCTGATAGACTTCCTGCCGATTCATGTGTTCACTTTTCTTTTTTAGGTTTGAGACATTATGGAAATAAGGACGTTGGCCATCGTTGCATCCACAATCCATTTCCTCCCCTTAAAACGGCCCATGAGCCGACCTGTTTTGGTATCTATAATCCGCTGGTTTTCACTTTGTTTGGATTTCTTAAAAATTTTAAAAAATTTGATTAACTTCTACAGTTATATTAATATTAATATACTAATATGTCATTAAAACCACTTGTACTAAAGATGACTAAATGCTAAAATATTGAAGTTATGTTAAACAGTTGTTTCCGCTATATAAAAGGAAGAATTTTCATCTAGAAAAACACATTAACAGATTGTTATTGCAAGTAAGTTAAATTTTCGCCATGATGTTTACTAACATTTCTAGAATTTAGATAATTTCCGCCAAATTTTTTGTTCTATTTCTGTCGTTTCCTTTTATAAATGTCAATGGCCGCTACTTTCGTTTAAATCTTTGTCACGTTTTTCTTTCGTGACAAGCTAGTGAATTAAAGTGAAATTATTATTTCATAAAAATTCAGTATAGAGTGAGATAAATTATCCATATCGCTCTAAAAATCATTTCATCAACCGTGAATTTTTTGCACAATTCATCCAGATCATACAAGTACTCAACCCAAATTTCGAGACTACTACTTTTTGTAGTAGTAACATTGTATTCACGTACACGATTTGCTTTTCAAACGCTTTCATTATCAACCTATAAATAAGTACAATCAAACCTATCTTCATCATTCTGTTATTAGTTTTATTTACAACCAGGCGTGCAATCGTTTGTTTTGATTAGTCGAAAGTTTAAGTTTTAAGGCAACGATTGAACTACTAACTGCCTTAATAAATAAGTGCATTGCTCTTCCTTTTCTCTTTCTTATCTCTTTATCTTCATTTTTTAACTTTTATGTTACCTTTTGTTGTCTTATTTTGTTTGTTGTTGTTTGTCGTCATAGCACCATAGATGAAACACTTTAAATTTTAATTTAAAGATTTTAATTTTTTATGGACATGTTTAATAATTATTTATCTATTACAGACTTTACAGATAGCATAATTAGTTGATAGATTCTACAATTTAGTTGTTCTTGCCGAATTCAACTTCTTACATCTTACTTACTCATACTCATATCCTCAACACTTTTTTCAGTTTTTGAAGGAATGTCATTTGAACGGTGTCATACACGCATTTGCATATTATATTGCTTTCCTCTGAGCCAACTCACCAAAAAATAAAATAAAAGTTTCAGTAAATCTCCTAATTGATGTAGGAATACCTTAGTTATTTTTCCATAAATATTGTTAACCTTATTTCTTACGACTAATAGGCGCGAATCTGTTGCTAAATAAAAAATTGAAAGGTAGAAACATTAATATAAAACGTTTAAATATGAGCATTTATTGGAAAATTTCCACATATCAAATCTTACAAAACCGGCTACTTATTGGTAAGATCAATGACATTTTTTGATAATCAAAAGTAGTATAAATAACTTAAACATATCAGATGAAATTTTATACAATTGTAAATGTTAGTAGTTACCTAGCGGACTTCAATACATAAATTTGATTGTCTTTGTTGAATTATTATTAGGCTTACTGAAATCATATCTTCAAGTTAACAGCGTATATAATTGCTATTGCTATTTGTCGCAATTTAGTAACATTAAGATAATTGTTATTTGTTGCATGTAGTTACATTGAGATAATTGTCATTTGTTGCATGTAATAACATCAGATGATAGTTATTTGTTGCAGATACAGTCCTGGCGACTGCAACATTGCTTGCAACAGTTGCTACAGTTACAGTACGGTATTATAGTTGTCGGTTTAGGCAGGTTGCAGCAACACTCCTCAAACTTGATCTCCGGCGGAGGCAAATTAGGACAACATGGCGGCGGGCAGTTGGGGATAATGTTCGGGACTGAGATGTACAACTGACCGGTGACTCGAGGGGGACAGCCGCAGGGTGGGATGTAGTGGACGGGCACCTGAATGCAACGTTGCTTTGGCGGACAATAACGCACCTCTTTTTCAGGAATTTTGGACATTTTCGGTTGACTGATTTTTCGATTTTTTTGTGTGTTTTTTCTGTCAAATAAAATTATAGAATCAACAAATTTTAATCAATTTTCGATAATTTGTCTCCGTGTTATCTGTTATGAAACAAATAATGCATGCAAAATTGTAGGAAATTACTTTTTTATATGTTGCAGAGATTCTTTTCCCCAGCTAACATCGGAAGATGTTTTCCTTATTTGAAATATGTAACCGAAATTGTAAGAAAACAAACAATTAGTAACGCAATTACGTTTCGTTATCTTTGAAATAAATTTAAAATAAACATTTAACTTGTTTTCTCCTTACTAGAAAAATTTATTGTAGAAATTTGCGATTAAAATTCTGCTGAATTTAAACTATTCAAAACATAAAGAACTTTTTAATGTAAAAAAATAAAGCGCTGGAATGCTTCACTTTTATTTTTACACCTGCAATCAATGTTTATTTCAGTTTTAATTTTAAGTTGGTCAATTTAAACTTTAAAGTTTCCCACAATATTATTTATATTTATTTATTTATTAATTTATGTCATAATTATAAATCCAATAAATTATTTTGCAAATTATTTTTTTTGATGAATCAAAGCTCTTCCCTAACGTCGTCGTTAAAGTTTTCCAGATGCTCAAAAAAACTAGTGACAAGGATTTTTTTCTCTCTCTACGTGTGCCTCGTAATGTTTGCCCTGTTCAATTTCAAAGGAAGGGTTCAGATCACCTACCCGAGTTACATGTTTCAAAAGACTAAGTTCTTCTGCCAGATTAAGGAAAAGTTAGGTGAGTTGGTCTTCAGTTGAAACTAAAGTTTTTGCAAACCCAGTCAAATTCTCTCTTGTTTATTTTTGACTTTTTAACTTCATTTGACATTTCATATAGATTTAATAATTTTTATTTTATTTTAAATAACATTTTAAATTTTATGCATTATATTAATTTAATGTGTTTATTTAAAATTAATTCATACTTTATACTGTTTGATTTTAGCATTTTAATTGTAGAGTTTATTTTCCTCAATGATAATTTTTAAATAATAGAAATGGGACAGTATTTTGGTATGGTGAAGGTCTGATTTTCTAAAGAATACACTATTGACTGATTTCTTATAATAAATTATTAGTTATTATTAATAAAAATAAATTATTGTTAAATTATTAGTATTAGCAATGCTATTTTAACAAGTGAGAAACGTATTCATTGCCATGATTGCCATGACTGTTTGTCAGTGATGACGTAAGTACTCAAAAAATGTACTTAAGTATAAGTACTAAGTACTCAATAATAAAAGTACTTAAGTATAAGTACTAAGTACCAAAACAAATTGTATACTTGATACTTATAAGTACTAAGTATAAGTACTAAGTACATAAGTACCTAAGTACATACCATGGTTAATTTAAAATATGATATAGATATATAGATGTCTATGATATAGATATATAGATGTCAGAGTGATGTGAGTTAACCACCTTTTAATGACTCAATTAGCCAATGGTTATCTTAACATCCCGCTATCCATGACTAAACAAGAACAAATGTTGATAAGAGAGATAAACAAGAATGTCAATGTGAAAATGTGTGTGTGTGTTTTCATCACAGTTTTCAATTTTTAAATGTTGACATTATCTTATTTTTGCTTAAAATTTTTCTGGTACTTACAGGAAAAATTTATTACTTATAAGTACAAGTACTGGAAAATGTACTTAAGTATAAGTATTTAAGTACAGGTTTTCATATATACTTAAGTATAAGTATCTAAGTACTACATTTGTACTTAAGTACGTACTTAAGTACAAATGTACTTAAGTACTCGTCATCACTGCTGTTTGTAATGAATATATATATGTTTTTTTAATTATGTTTTAGCAGAAATTGAATAAAATTTGTCATTTTATATTTTATTTAAATAAATTTTGTGATTTGCATGATTGAATTAACTTTTTAAATTAAATAAATAAATAGAAAATAATTGAAAATAAAATTGTGCTGAATAAATAAGTTTAATATTTTGCTGAAGCCATTGTGTATTCCATAATTTATAATACTGATGTAATAAATAGCGTGATGTTGTAAAGAAAATGCTGAAACCTACAAAATTTTAATAAATAAAGGACCTGTGAAATTGAATATGTATTCAAATGTGTCCCTCTTAAAGGTCAGAATGAGGCACAAAGATGTACTGCTAGGTATTTTTTTGTGATATTCCATTTTTTGTACTCTCATATGTATAAAGATTTTAAAGGTGTTGTGAGGGGTTTGTCATTCATCATTAACAACCTACCACTCTAGTGTGTTTGCTGTCTTATGTTAAATTTAATACTCTAACTTCAAGATTTTTGCCATAATTTTTTGTCATTTTTATTCTCGTTACTTTTTGGCCTCTGATGTGGATTTCTCGGATTTATGATAATAATTGTTTAAAATCCACTAAAGAAATGCATACAAAATGGAATGGGTGATGTATTACTACATATTTCTCACTGATGCAAATTATGTATATGCATTATTTAGTAGTTATTGTTCTAGCTACATTTGATCAGTACTTAATAATAATTGATTAGTAATTTGATGTCAGTCAGTCGTCAAGATGGTTGTCTTATTCTGGGGTGCTGCCAACTCTCTCAAGTTTCAAATGATGCTAAGCGATACAACCATCATTGTAATGAAATCTGGAAAGAATTGTTAAAATAAAAGAATAAAAAAAAGATGAAAATAAAAATTCGTTTAGGTGGTGAGTGGAAACCACCGTGTCGCTCGTGGCAGAAGTTGGCCATCGTCGTTCCCTACCGGGATCGCTACCACCACCTACTGCAGCTCCTCGACCGACTGCATGCCATGCTGAAGAAGCAACTCGTCCATTATAAGATCTTTGTGGTCGAACAGGTGCTGCTGCTGGTGGTGGTGATGGTGGTTGTGGTGGTGGTTGTGATGATGGTGGTGGTGGTTGTGATGATGGTGGTGGTGGTTGTGATGATGGTGGTGGTGGTTGTGATTATAATAGTAGTGGATGATGATGTTTGTGGTTGTGATGAAACTAAAGACAGTGTTAATGACATTAAGTTAGAAAGCATTAGAAGCAATAAAATGCGAACGGCATACGTTCGTATCGCAGCCTCAGAAGCGGGCTGCAGTTTGGTGCATGTATGTAAAAATGCATGGGAGAACAATACATCGCAAAAGTGCATACCGTCCAGTCACAAATGAATCAATTAGTTTGTAAAGCGCTATTTCCGCAATGTTCAACAGCGCTCCGCAATAAATTTTGCAAAGAGATGGGTCTTAAGATCCGCCCTGAACTTCGTAAGTGATGGAGAAGTAGTCAGAAAAGGAGGTAGAGAGTTCCAAAGAAAAGGGCCAGAAAAAGCAAATTCAGATTTAGTAAAAGAGTGTTAAACGCGAGTTCAGAAGAAGTGAGAACAAGAAGACGATCGTAAACCGGGGCGTTTACAAAAAGACAGAAGACGGACACCTTACGACTCGGCTGGCTCGCCTTAATGCAGCCAGCCTACTCTGCTCTGATTGTTTCTTTAATGGTGACAATTTTTGTGATCATGATACATATCGTGCTCTTATGATTGTAACGACGATGATAATGACGATAATGATGATGACGATGACGATAATTTTTTGTGATGATGACGTCTCTAACTGTGATGATGACAGATGACATTATGATATGATTATGACGTCATAATGATGATGATGACGTCATAATGATAATAACCACCATCGTCCCAAAGTCAGGCAAGGACAAATTCAATAAGGGTCGTTTGTTGAATGTGGGAGTGGTGGAAGCATTGAAGGATCAACCGTTCGATTGTTTCGTCTTTCATGATGTTGATCTGTTACCTGAAGATGATAGGTTGGTTGGTTGGTTGTTTGGTTGGTTGGTTGGTTGGTGGGTTGGTTGGTTGGTGGGTTGGTTGGTTGGTTGGTTGGTTGGCTGGTGGGTTGGTTGGTGGGTTGGTTGGTTGGTTGGCTGGTTGGTTCATTGATTAATTTATTGTTAGTATTGTTTTTTTTATCTCGTCATCGTTAAGGAACATTTATCATTGCAACGAAAATGTTCACCACGCTATATCGGCTCTGGACGAGATGAGATACCAGTAAGTTGTTGGATTGGTTGACTGACTGACTGACTGACTGACTGACTGACTGACTGACTGACTGACTGACTGACTGACTGACTGACTGACTGACTGACTGACTGACTGACTGACTGACTGACTGACTGACTGACTGACTGATTGATTATATAGTCGTTTGATTATTGATTATATAGTCGTTTGATTGAATTTTACTCCATTTTCAATTAAAATAATGGTAACGAATAGACCCTCAAATAATAAATAGAAATTTTTATATCTATGTTACGCTTAAGTTTTGCATAAATGTCTTCTTTAAAAGAATTATTCAAGAAAATTTATAACTTATGAGTTTAGAATCTAGATTTCCAAGCAAAACATCATCTTCTTATGGCTGTTTAAGATCAAGCACTGAATGTAAGACAGCAACTGAATTATGGGTATTGACGGGAACTGTTGATTGTGGCAACAAAAGATGAATCACATCATCAACCACGTTGTAATCAACTGCTCCATACGAATCAATACAGCATGCATAGACATCGCTGGCTAGTTGCTTGGCCTCGTCCCAAGGACTCTTCTTCAAATACTGACCTCAAATCCTGGTGCGATCAACTGTCTGAAAATATCGTCGAGTTTGACGAAGGCATGCTGACGTACGACAACCTCCAAAACTGAAGTGGCATTGCATTGCGCCCAACAATGTGAATGTCTCTCTCAAAGTTGTCGGAAAGTCCTGCAAGCAGAAAGACCTTATGATATGGTGAATGCGAAACATGGAAACATGCGTTATTCCGTTCGTACTGGAAGCATTGGGTAAAAGCGACAAAGTCATCTTGGCAGCTACCTGGAAAGGAACGCGTACATTGGCGCTGATGATCTCTATGCTTGGTTCAACCACGCAATGCTGATCACCATTTTTTTAGGAACCTAACATTTTTACATAAGCAGTCCGATGAATTTTGGACATACAGTAAAAGAAAAAGTTTTTAAAAATATTGATATAATAATATAAAAGTTATAGCAAAGTTTTAACACTATTGTTAAACTAATATTAAAACTATCTTTCCACTTCTACGTTCAATTGACTCGCGACAGTTTGCTTTACTACAACAACTTGGGGGGCGTGGTCATCATTAGCAAGGACAACGTCTTCAGAGCCAACGGCCACTCCAACAGTTACTGGGGGTGGGGCAATGAAGATGATGACTTCAATGCCAGGTTGCAGTTGTTTTGATGGTGTTGATGATTATGCTGGTAGTGGTGGTGGTGTCGCTGGTGAGATGTCGTGGCGATGGTGGCGATGATTCTGGCGACGATGTTCCAAGAGATGGTGTCGGTGGTGTGATAGATAACGGAAAGTGAATGACGTAGCACGATGATGATTGGAATGTAATCAGCGGAGAGGTTATGATGATGATGGTGAGGTGTTGAAATGAAAATGATGATGATGGTGGTGATGGTGGTGGTGGTGGTTGTGGTGACGAGGACGATGCGGTGGTATTAATATTGGATTGTGGTAAAAAAAAACTACGAGAATCTCAATGTTAAATTTCACTTCATTCTGTTGTATTCATATAGCCTCATACTAGCATCAAACTTTTTAATCATCATCATCAACATCATCATTACTTATATCAACCATCGTTACTACAGGCGGCGTAGTGGTCTAGTGGTTAAGGTCGCCTGGTGCTGTTTCGCAGAGCGTGCAGCGACCGGTTTCGATTTGAATATGATGCTCGCCTATCACATGCTTCGTGTGTTATGCGTCGTGTAGCATGTGATCATGTGGGATGTTTGTGGAGTGCTGTTGAGCCCTGTGAACCTAGGGAGAGTGTGATGAATCTATTTTAACCTCTAACCGCAGGACCATGGAGATCGGGCTGATGTTGACTAGACCTCCGGAGAACATTGGAAGGTTCAAGATGGTGCGACATGCTAAGTTGTGGCGGGAAAGTCATGGGTGGGTGGGGTGGTGATGATGACGATGTTGACTTTTTGTGATATGATGATAAATTATATAAAAACATTGTGTCCTTCCTATTGCACCTGCACTGAACATCAGTGCATCTAGGATCACTTCGCTACCAATATACAGCGACGTAAACATGACGGCATGGACCAGGGGTGGCCAAGCTCCTTGATAGTTTGAGCAGTTTCAAAATTTGAAATTTTTCGCAAGCACAATTAAAAACGTATTAAAAATTGTGAAAAAATGTATCGGGACGTTTTTTTTTATAGTTAATTTAATTGATAACGTCTCCTGTATTTAATCGATTGTTTCTCTCTCATAAGGTTGCCTGATAAAGTTAGAATTGTTATTCCTCTCGATAAAACATTTCATTTCCACTAGTACATGATTACTAACAACTCAACTTTCGCTTGCCTCACTCGCACATTTGCATGTGAAAATTCACTTCTGTCGAACATTCGCTGCCTTCAGACAAGTCTGTCCGTTGCAATAAAAGTTTACATAATCAAGATCAGTCTGGAGTCAGTCGAATGGGAACAACTACGCCGCTGTTTAGCGTCGTTCGCTCGGTTTTCAACGAGTCGTGTCGTTCTTAAATTGGAAGGAAGTGAGATTTGTTGCAACATTTCACTCGGCCTTTCATATTTTTTGTCAGTAATTTAAAAGACATTTTGAAACCTGTACGGAACGATCATAATTTTTTAAAATATAATAACACAAAACATGAATGATAAGAGTACTCTGGTACATTTATCGAAAGTCAAAAATGATCCTTCAAAACGCCCCATGTGGCTCGCGAGCCGCAGTTTGGCCGCCCCTGTCGTACACCACTCGACTACTTGCAACACCAGAGATTTTTGCATATGATGATGGGATTTTGTATCTGCTTACTGTGACGTAGTGATGATGAATATGATGACTTTTGGAAGTCGTAATGATTGCAGGGATGATAACAATGATAATTTTGACAGTGTATTCGGTTTAAAATTGATCTGAGACAAGATTACCATTTGACGACACGTACAGCTATGAGCTATTTTTAACTTGGAAATCCCGCTGGATGAGTGATGGATTGAAACAGCTGAATGAGAGCATGTACAAGGTCGTCTCAGTAACTGTCAATCAACTCTACACCAATGTCACGGTCGATTTTGGACCTGCCCCTCTTCAAATGACCACCCCTGGCCCCAAGGACACGCGAGTTTCATACTTTTGGTAATTATTATATATGTATATATTTAAAATGCAAAATTTTCATAATTAGTTAAATAATTAATTAATAATAATAATAATAAATTAATTAATAATAAATATAAAAATAATAATAAATATTAAAAAAATGAAAAAATATTTTTTTTCAAAATTATTCTTCCAACAGGTTCCTTAACTTTTATTTCCCGTAAAATATTCCACGACGAAACCAAATGATCATTATTTTTTGCTGACTGACTGGTAATAATTTTACTAAAGCATGACAGCAACAACAACAGCATCAATGCGCATTACCATCTCAAGTTTTGATCATTTTGATGAATGTATTTTATTTTTTTCTAAATCATTCTTTTCAGGATGTTATTTTATTTTATTTTTTAAGCATTAGTGACATTTTACATATTATTTACTGCTTCATTCAGATTTATCACTGTTTACTAGGCTGCTGGCTTATCATTAAAATATTTTTAGAAAATCATTTTTTTTATTTTTCCGGTATTAGTTAATTTCCGTTAGCATTTTTTGATTTTATCCGAAAAATATTTTATAATATTTTTACTTTTTCTTGTATTTACTAACTAACTTATTCAGTAAACTGATATCAGTCTTGTAATCTCACTCATACATTCCATAGTTATTGCTATCATTTTTTGATATTTCTCTGGTTGTCGTCGTTATCTGATGTGTGATATTTTACATTGCTTGGTATATTTTTATATATGTTAGATTGTTAGGTATATGTTGTTTTTTTTATGAAAAAAGATAATATCAATACTTTATATATATATATATATATATCTCTTTTTAGTCAATGCTGCTTTTATCAATAAAATTATTTCAAAATGGATCAGTTGGTTTGGTTGGTAATATTTTAAATTTTCAATATCATATTTTTCAGAATTTTCCTAGCGTAAATTTATTTTTGAAGAATTTGTTATTAATTACAATAAATTTACGGGACCTATATGTCTTTCATTCATATAAATTTAATTAAACTTGAAAATAGTTTTATCATTATTCCGTATAAAAAAATTTCTAATATTACAAAATGACGAAGCCATGAATTACAGAGAATTACTTTTACGATAGGAGACAACATTGCCGATAAAATTTGGAATATATGCTGGAATTTAGTATTTTCATCTAAATGTTTTGAGAAAAGTTTAAAAATGTCAGGCTACATCAAAAAGATTTTTTCGTACACTGAATGAAATATCGTTTTGAAAGCGCGCAAGAAATATGACAGCATGATAAAAGCTCAGAATTTGAAAATTCGGGGCAGACCAAGCGTGATATCCTAAAAATCTCATACTATATTATAATTAGGAAGTTAAAAAAATTTAAGTTCATAAAAATTCGATAAATTTCAGACTAAAATAAAGTTTTAAAAAATTCAAAACGCGACTACTTCAATGCTAGTCAACATTGTAGACTCATGGTTATTAATGTTAGTCGGTAATCAGTTGTTTTATACGAACTCTTTCTCATTCATTGTCGGTGCCTCTGTCAGCGACAAATGAACAATCCATATATACTCGTCGGTATAGTTTGTCTTCGATTTTCGTCATAAATTGTAAGGTGCAGCAAACTTTAACAATCTTCTCATCTGTCCTGCATGCTTTTTCTGGCCCTTTTCTCTGGAACTCTCTACCTACTTCTATGACTACTTCTCCATCACTTACGAAGTTCAGAGCGGATCTCAAAACCCATCTGTTTGCAAAATTCATTGAAGAGCGCTGTTGAATAGTGCTTCACAAGCTAATTGATTGATAGATTGATTGATTGATTGATAGATAGATTGATAGATTGATTGATTGATAGATTGATTGATTGATTGATTGATTGCTTGATTGATTGATTGATTGATTGATTGATTGATTGATTGATTGATTGATTGATTGATTGATTGATTGATTGATTGATTGATTGATTGATTGATTGATTGATTGATTGATTGATTGATTGATTGATTGATTGATTGATTGATTGATTGATTGATTGATTGATTGATTGATTGATTGATTGATTGATTGATTGATTGATTGATTGATTGATTGATTGATTGATTGATTGATTGATTGATTGATTGATTGATTGATTGATTGATTGATTGATTGATTGATTGATTGATTGATTGATTGATTGATTGATTGATTGATTGATTGATTGATTGATTGATTGATTGATTGATTGATTGATTGATTGATTGATTGATTGATTGATTGATTGAGTTATCCAAGCTCGATCTTAAAACTGTTGATTGTGACATATATTACATTATCAATGTTACATATATTACATTATTAATGTTACATATATTACATTCTCAATATTACATATATTACATTATTAATTTATACATATAAACCTTAGTAAATGTAACTGAATTCAATGTGAATCCATGAATATAAATATATATATATGTCAACCATGTGTGAATCACCAACGATCCGAACCAACTAAGGGGAGGCAATATTTACCAGCATACAACACCTTCTTATGGGTTGAAGCGGTGATATGCAAAGAACCTCAATTTTTTCAACTTTTAATTATTTTCAGTAATGTCTCCCCTTGCTCCAAACCACATAACTAAAATAATAGGACTAATCGATCAATTCGATCTATCGGTCGGGCTATTTGTCGTGCTTGGATTGTTGGCTTACGAAATTGCCTTTACGAAATTTAACGAGCAAGCTAAATGAAATATTTACTTGATTTAATATGCTTAAAACATTGTAGTAATTCTATTTAATTTTAATAATGATTAATAAAATTATGTATTATTAAATTATTTTTGTTAATTTGAATATAAAAATTGCTTTTGGTCCGGTGAAATCCGGTGGCTTACTGAAGCCGAAGGTTGGCTTAGTAGGATTGAACTATAGTCACCCTTTTTTTTTACACTATTCGATCATGTTAAAAATTGGTTTGATTATGAAATAAACGGCCTAAATAAATCAAAATTGTTATTTGAACAACCATTTTCATTATATTCAATGAATATTTTACATTCTGCTGGTGGTCATAAGAAACTGGCTGCTGAAATCATATACGTTGGCTTACAGCAGTGACTTACAGGGTTTCATAGAACTCTTACGATAGCACTTTTTTGTACATATAATGCTTTAAATAAATCAATATATTCATATCACAATTATTTTTGTCAGTATAAATATAGAAATTGCTTTTGACAGGTGAAAAACAGTGGCTTACTGAAGCCGTAGGTTGGCTTAATCGGATTTTTCTCATGTATACAATACTATGAGATAAATCAATCAAACAATCAGTCAATCGGTCGGTCGGTCAGCCAGCCAGCCAGCCAGCCAGCCAGTCAGTCAATCAATCAATCAACCAACCGATCAATCAATCAACTAAATTGAATGAACCAAATAAACAAAAATAAAAACAAAAATAAATAAAAAAATTTGCAAGGCCTGTTCAAACTCGAACAAACAGTTAACCGTACAGATCTACAAACAATTTCGAGATTTTAGTAAAGAAAGAAAAACACAGTAGTTGCTTTTATTTGAATTCATTCAAAAATGAAAAGTGATGGTTAATTAAAATTTTAAAATGTCAATTTTTTTTTAAATTCGTATTTTAAATAAACAAATATAACAAAATATCGACCGATAAAAATAATTATTTTCCATTATTATTATTACCATACACACTCCTTAGAAGTTCTCGAAGGATAATAAACCACGTAACATGAACATTTAGTAAGAACAGTTCACAACATATCATAATGACTAAATCAACATACTGAACAGAAATAATTTATACATGCATATATGCAAAGTAAATCAAGAAATATCCAAAAATTATATAACCAATTTAAAAAAAAACTAGAAACCAGTCAACATTTAATGAATAAATAAATAGACATTATTAAAAAGATTGTTCAAAAAGGTACAATTAAAGGCGACGACGAGAATGAAATGTAGTTTATTTTGTTGGTGTGGTGTTGTGAAGCGAAAACAAACACATCACACGAAACTAGTAAGAAGTCGCAAGAATAAGTCAGTCACCTACCTATAATAAAATTACTCTCAGGGCCCTAGCTTACTTATAAACATTGACTCAACTCACTTACCTACAAATTTGTATTTCTCGTTTTAGATGTTTCAAGTATTTTATTTAACATATTTTAGCGTTTTTATTTTACTTGAAGCTTTTTAACTAATGTTAAGCCCTAGCCTACCTACAATTGTTTAACTCATCTCAGTCCCTAACTTACCTATGAATTAAATTAAAGTCCGGTTCACGGTAAAGAAAATATAAAGCTGAAGAGAAACATAGCAACAACGACACTGAATGAATGGATGTTGTGTATGTATGTGTTGTATTTATGTGTGTGTATGTAAATGTGCGTGCGCGCACTCTTCAGAAACTTCACTCACTACCGACGAACCTCCATTGCACCGACCATCATCTGACACGCATCGATGGAATGAATTTGACCGGATACTGAAAAATAAATTGAAAGAAAAATTAATTTACTAAAATAAAAAAACAAGCAATTGGAAAAAATAGGCAACTTATCTTTTTGAGATAAAACTCAATCTTTGTTCAAATTCGAGTACTTTCAAAGGTACAATGAGACAAAAACAAATTTACCTTTAACATTATCTTCGATTTGTCATCGGAACGATCATCATGAGACCACCATCTGAAACGTGCTGACGCCCACCACAGCCCACCTCTCATCATTCTGTAGACAAGTTTTTATTAATTAGCGAAGTAGTAAATCAAGAAACAAAGGAACGACGAATAAATGATTAACTGAATGATTGAATGATTGGTTGAATGAATAAATTAACTAATTAATCAACAAATGATTTAATGAATGAATAAAATGATTCAATGAATAAATTAACTGAGGAATAATTTGAAAGATAGTGATAAAATGAATGAATGAATGAGAAAAATAAAAAAAAGAAACTAAATCATACTTCAAAAACCGTCGTTGTTGTTATCTTCGAATTGTCATCGGAACGATCATCATGAGACCTCCATCTGAAACGTGCTGATGCCCACCACAGCCCACCTCTCATCATTCTGTAGACATTTTTTAAATAGCGTATTAGTAAATCAAGGAACAAAGGAACGATCGAATAAATGATTAACTGAATGACTGAATAATTGGTTGAATGAATGAGTGAATGAATGAATTAATTAATAAATCAATGATTCAATTAATGAATAGAATGAATTAACGAATCAATTAATAAAAGAATAATTTAAAAGGTTGAGTGATAAAATGAACGAATGAGAAAAATAAAAAACGAAACTAAACCTTACTTCAAAAATCGTCGTTACTGTACTTTCCATTGCACCGACCACCACCATCTGGTCGGCACACAAAATACGATCCGAACTTCAGAGTGTCAGTCGAATAGCCAACGAGCTGATTCTTCCTATACCACCATCATCATATGTAAATAATCATGAGACCACCATCTAAAACGTGCTGACTCCCACCACTGTCCACCTCTCATCATTCTGTAAACAAAATTTTTTTATTTGCGTAGTAGTAAATGAATGTTAGAATTTTAGAAGCAAAAAGTTATAAAATGGAAATAATGACAAATAAATAATATCTGAAAATAATAAAGAGATTAAAATGAAAAAAAAAACTTACCGTCGTCCATTCGACAAAGGCAGAATGTTGAATGCTTTCTGGTTCCTGCGTTGTCCTCCAAAACTGGTGTCAGTCCTCCTCGAGATTGTTGTTGAAACACAGCCCGTGGAATGGAGAGAGAAAATTCTCATCAGAAAGCTTAGCGGTGCCTGCATCTCAAATTGCTTAATAAAAATAATCCTATCTACCTATTCAATTACCTTAACTAATCTATAATAAATTGTAAATGGTACGATAGTCGAAAGTTCCCCTTCATTCTCCCTCCTTGCACAGAGGTTCACCGACAGCCAGGGCACCGGATAGTAAACCATTGCCGTGCGGATAGTAGACTACTGCCTTGCGGATAGTAAACCATTTGC